GACATTTGGGAACACACTGTTTCAAATGGACATTTCGCAATACCAGGTTTGATACCTAAGCCAATTATTTATGCATGTCTCATTATTCAAAATGCATTATTTGAAATTTTTCTGTGAAAAAGAAACAAATGAGGTGAAAATATACAATAACTTTATGACTGTATGAAATGAACGTTAGGTTCGATACCTAAGCCAAATATTTATGCATGTCTCATTAATCAAAATGCATAATTTGAAATTTTTCTGCCAAAAAGAAACAAATGAGGTGAAAATATACAATAACTTTATGACTGTATGAAATGAACGTTAGGTTCGATACCTAAGCAAATTATTTATGCATGTCTCATTAATCAAAATGCATAATTTGAAATTTTTCTGCCGAAAAGAAACAAATGAGGAGAAAATATACAATAACTTTATGACTGTATGAAATGAATGTGTGAAGAAAGTTTTCACGTATGAAATGCATCTATTTGGTGCGCAAAGGTCTTGAGGAATTACGTCTAAGTGCTCAGTGCAATGTTCTGTCATCCCCAAAAGGTCCTTCACAGGACCTTTTCTGGACCAATTGTTGTTCTCAGAAAGCACACGAAAAAACGTTTGAACCGGCGCTAGTGTGTTGCTTTTGTCCTCTCCAGAACGTCCTTAAAATTACTTTTTCAGGATAAATTGTTATCCTCAGAAAGCACTCGAAAAGATGTTTCTGGGTCAAACCAGCTTGAGTCGTCCTCAGGTCAATGAGAACTGTGCGAGGACGATTGTACCATATGAGGACGACCTCAGGACATCGAGTGTTGTCTGGGTTTCTAAAACCAAGAAGGTTACGCCCAGCGAGTATAACGTAGCAACCCTTTCTTGTCAGATAGTGCTAAATGTACATGCCAATGGTTGCTAATGGGGAATGAGAGACAGGAGAATTCGGCTTTTAGTTAACGCACATGCTGTGAATTTTTTTATTGTTGAACAATGCACAGGAGAAATCTCCCACAGGCACCACCTCGCAGGTCAAAACGTAAGACTGGTTATGCACTACGACGTGGGACGAACGGGTGCCGCTTTAGGGAGCTTTGCCCCTAAAAAATCTGCGTAAGATGAACCGCATAACAGGCCTCACGAACTATTGCAACGACCGACAATGACCGAGATTGTGAGCGACAAACATTAGTCTAGACGGGGGCATTCAGGCGAACAAGAGTAAGCAAAATGAAAAAACTTCCTGGCGCAGAATCAAAGCAAATTGCGACGTGGAGGGAGAAGGCGAGATAAGTGCAAAAGAAAGGTCAGTGCATAAAGCTAGTATCTCCCTCACTCCTAGCCTGTAGGAGGAGAAAGGGCCGGCTTTATCAGCAAAGAAAGCAACAAAAAGTGTTTGTCCTTTTTATATTCTCCTCTCGTACTTCAGTTCCCCAGCTGGAGTAAAGTGGAGAACATAAAAACACAGGAGCTTGGCTAGAGGGGAAAATGCAAAGGAAGGAGAGTGAAAAAAAGCCAAATGAAAGCAAAAACGGGAACAAAGATTGTCTGTGCATTATAATCACATGAAACCAAAACCACATATGCAGCACTAGCACTCCCATCAGAGGAGTCAGATGCATTGTCATAGCCGTCACACAATGGTGCCTGAGCGCATATTGTGGTCAGTTTGCCTTGTTTTGCATAGGGCCTGTGCGCGTCGTACCTGTTCTCAGTGCAGTGCAGCAAATTGTGGTGCACCTTTTTTAATATGAAAGTACATGACCAAGGAAGGTCATTTTTCACACTAAATATAGCTGCATCGCATCTTTTTTGTGTGCCCGAGGCTTGTGATCGTGAGTAGTGTAAATGTAGATCTTCAGCTGCATGTCGTTCTGGAAAAGTTACTGCGGGCTGAAAATAAAAAAATATCCGAAACTCCAAAAAAAAAAAAAAAAGCTTGCAGACTTTCATGAGCAACTTGGTGTATATATTGGCTTTGTCAAAGTAGTAGTGGTATGCAATGAAGGCATATTCACCAGTGATAGCCAAACCAGTAAAAAAGCCTCTCAGAAGGGGAACAGCCAGAAGAATAAGTTTTCTATTCCTTGAAAGAAAATTGTGCTTGTATCTCCTTTTTTATCTTTTTCTGATCATCAAAATAGGGTCGAGCTAGTTTTATCGTGAAAATGTAGCAATTTAGTCATAAGCATATTTAATACGAACTTGCGAGATCGAGTACTCATTAGATTATTCTAAATACTCTACTTGATAGGATAGTTTTTATCAAGCTGAGCCAAATGCTTTTTTGTTCCTTATCTAAATACTCTACTTGATAGGATAGTTTTTATCAAGCTGAGCCAAATGCTTTTTTGTTCCTTATCTCCCTATTGTAAGTATATTTCATTCAACGTTTTCAAGCAACATATTTTGGCGTGGCATGTTAGCTTAGAAGTGTGGCAGCTTGGGCTAGTTTGTATGGCATGACGATAGTTATAGCGCGAGAACAAAACGATGACACAGAGACAAGAAGGGCACGAAAGACACGGCATGTTAGCATTTGGTTTTGTGGGGCACTTCCGATAGAACGAACTCCCGATAAGACGAACAAATGATTGTGATACCTTGGAGTTCGTCTCAAAGGCAGTCTACTGTACTTGCAGAAGAAGGTAAAGTTTAGTAGAATAATAAACTTCTGATTCTTAAGTATACTGATCACATAAGTTTTAACCTGAGTGGAGGCTTGACAAGCAGAAAGGGAAAAGGGTGTCACTGTGATCAGTCAGTACCACCATTGTGGTGTGAAATGCTGAATAGGAAACCTTGGCCTTCATTGCCATTGTGAGCAACTATCATTTTCTTTTCAAGTTAATGTGGACAGAGCCTTGCAAAAAAAATTGCCTACTTTATTGCTGCTTTTTTGTTAACCTTTCTAGAAACTGCAGCTTTAGAACTAAATATGTATATCAAAGATGACTGACCAGTATAGTAGCTATCTTGACTGGGTCTCTTAATTTGCCAAAAAAATATCTTAGGACTGTGCTTGTTGGTATGTTTCTAGAAGAGGATGTAACAGGGCATGAAAGACTCTGCATCTGTCTTTTTTACTTCATCTTGTCTTGAGCTGTTTCATTGCATTCTGATATCATAGGGGCTTAGCAATTGCTTCAAGCTGTCACATCACGAAAGCTGTCACATGATTGAGGAGGATTGCTGTCACTGTTCCTAAAGAGTCATTGGTTGCCCATCCTATATGCCAAAAGGAGGGGGCAAAAGACACAAGTGATTGCGTTGCGCCCGCAGCTCCAGATGCTGCCTTGTGACCTTTGATACCTTGCATGGTTACATTGATATATGGCTATGGGGAAACTGATAAAGTGACTGTAAGAGTTCAAATGAGGTTTCTATTATCAAAAATGTATTCCAAGCACCTGATATAATAATAACAAGCATCACTTAGTATGATTTGTGGCTATGATCATTCCAGAAAGGAATTTGTGCTAAAGTTAATCGTAAGTAGCATTAAGAAGATTTACTGGGCCAGGTCCACTTGAGTTCCAGAATTCCTAATTAACTAGAAATCAGCTTTTGTACAATGGTAGATTCTTCTCTTAGTATGGCAGCTGCAAGCGCTGTATGATGTAACCTTTTCTTGATCTTGCGCTAATTTTCTGGGGCCTTTTCAAAAACCTCTCGGTGTGATTTTTGTGTATTTGACCCATGCCAAGCTTTACTGAATTGCTTCAAAGCATAGTTATTCTGCCTCAGAATAGAAATCTGCTCAAAAGCAATTCATGTCGTTTACACTTCTTTTGGGTTGCTGCCTTTACTTGAGAAGCCTTGTCGCTGACCACTTTTGTTCAGAATGAATGAAGCATGCAAAGCAGCCCGAGATAATTCTACTCCCATTGCAGCTTTATATGCTTTATTAGGTCTCATCTGTTGTTCAATTTGGTACTGGTATTGTTAAGCACCATGAAGTTGCTGACTTCTGGTGAGACCATGAGAGAGTGTTTGTGTGTGGCATATATTTCCACCACCACAGGGTTTTTTTTGCAACAATATTTAATGGCTATTTAATATAAGGAGCACTTGCCAACTTATCTCCCCCACTAATACCTCTTTTGTCATGTATAACAGTGTAAATTTATGTTCTGTATTAAATGCTGCTGTCATGCATTGCTTTTGCTTGGACCTTCTGTGTTAAGAATGTGCATGCACATGCACACACATGGTTTCATTGTTAATAAGCAACTTTTGTAGCTCTTTTTTTCTTTCATTCTCAATCTGCTTTTTGTCTAAGCATCACACATTGTTGCAGCTTGTTTGGTGCATATATTTTCCTGAATGCATGTACATTGTGATATTTATGTAATGAATTGCTATCCCAACTGACTTGTGCCTAAAGATTGTAGTGAATATGGAACAATCTTGCTTGTAACAGGTCGTCAGCATATGATAGTTGAAACAACACAATTTAATTTGAGTCCTTAAACCACTGCGGTCGAAATATCGAATTCTTTAGTTTTTACTTGCCAAAGCGACAATGTGATTACGAAGCATGCTGTAGTGGGGGACACCAAAATAATTTTTATCCCCGGAGGTTCTTTAAACGCAGCCCAAGTAAACGGGTATCCTTTTGCGTTTCGGCCTCGTCGAAATGCGGCCGTCATGACCGGGAAGTGAACCCGCGTCCTCCAGCTTGGCAGCTCAACACCTGAGGGAGTCATCACGGCGGCTAAACAAAAATAAACGAACCTGCAGCTGGTCGTTGAGTTACTTTGCGAGACTTGCACCGCCGCACTCGGCAAACGCAACTCTAGCTGGCCGTGCATCCACTGAACTTGACTCGCCGAGGGCGCACGCGTGATTCGGGGCGGCACCCCACTGTTTGAGGCCGCGGCTGGGTGGGAGGAGGGCGGCAGGTTTGCGACATGTGGCTGACGCTGCGAATAGCGTCCGCTATATTTAGGGCTCTTTGGGGTCGGGCATTGGAGTTTTCGTGCACCGACGCGACCGGACGCGCGCTACGCGGCGGCTGAGTCGCGACGTATCCAGCCGCCCTGCCATGGGCAACCAGCCCGGTGTGGCCAGGATGGACACCTCGGACCCGGTGAGCCTACAGTTGAACGCTACCGAGTTTAAAACCCCGCAGAAGAAGTGCACTGAGCGCCTAATTGGTGGGCGCTCGGGCGACTCTATGGAGAGCGCGAGACGTGTGCCGCCAACGTCCCTCCGAAATCGGTCTCCGAAGTTTTACCTGTAACCGCCGACGCGATGGAACCCACGTACGCGGTGTACAGACGGGTCCACTGTTAAAGGGAACACCTGCGTGAGCAGCATGTTTAAATTTCACTATCTTACGGAACCATAGCGGCTTAGATATGCGTACGAATACTGGTGGTTAAAAGTGCCGACTCCTCTTGACATACTATTGACTTGCATGAAGATTGTTTCTTAATCCACTTGCTCTTAGAGGGTCAGGAATATTTATGGTGTGCATTCGAGTGTTCCCTTTAACAGTGGACCATACTGTGCGCTAAAGCTATACCGCTTGTGGTGCGCTGCACTAAAGCTATACCACCGTCAGACAGTCAACCAGCGGCCGTGCGATGCAGTGTCAGTGCCAAGTTCACGGTCGTCGCGCGGTGTCACGTTTTCTGGTGAATGCGCTGGCTCACCGCGCGAATGTCTCCCTTCACCGCACACGTCAAGCAGCTACTCCGTAAATGAGCTTGCGGCTACTATTCGTCGAGACATGTTGTTGCTTGGCAAGGTGCGCATGGCTGAGTCCATGTGTGGTCCACGCCTTGGAATTGCGGCCCTAATCGGAACTTTACAGAATGAGTTTACTTGGAGGGGTTGTCTCGCCGTTGCCGACACCTGAGCGGCTGTTTGCGTCCGACATTGCATTGCACAACCAGTTGCAATAAAACCACGTCGGAAATCACATTGCGTTCGAACGACAACAGCTAACAGTACGATCGAAAGTCTGTGAGCCCACGTACGTATCGCTCGAATTGCATGTTCAAAGGTCAGAACGCGGTGAAAAGAACAATACCGGTTTCCTGTTAATTAGTGAACAGGCGAAGTCGCAACGAAGAAACTAAATGGTGGAAGCCGGTCGATCTCTCGACTCCGATATAAGGGAAAATGGGTGGCGATGTTCTTTGCAGGTGCCACCTCTTACGGGTGACATACACCTTTTCGCATTGCTGTCTCGCAAAGCATCCTCAAATACAGATGCCCTGATCTTGCAGCTGCTAGCATCCCGCTGCCTTTCTGACGTGTGCGGAGAGTTTTCACTTTCCGGGTTCCGGCGCCTCGGCCGCGGCTCGGCAAACGTCGAGCTGTGGTGGCTTAGTAGGGCTGGCATTTGTGGGGAACGACTTTTCGGGAGACAACGCTGCCTGAGGGCGTCGAATAAAGGACCACGCCATACCTTCAAGAGTTATGAGGAATGCGAAAGAACACTTCGATGGCAGAAAGCACGCAAGTTTTAGTATCCTACGTTATAAATGATAGCATTGGAAGTATTGATGAAAAGGAATACGGGAGACCCGTGTGTCGCTGTGGGCCAGGAAGATGTGTCTGAAGGAAAGGCGGCAGAAGTTAAAGTGACAGTGGATTTGATATAGTATTGGCAGAATATATCTCGCTCGAAAAACCTAGTGACATCTCATTCGCTATGCATCTGTATTGCAAGCTTGCCAGAGTTCGAACAATACCATCATCCCTCCTATCCGTAAAAAAATGAGACGCTAACACTCTCAGGAACTATAGGAACGTTAGCTTGTTTTCGGCATTATGCATTGTATTCGCCAGTCAAAAATCTTTTTGGCACCGTGCACGTGGAATTCGGAGAACGTGCGGCCTTCTGAAAAGAGTATTTCACAATGTGTACCCTATCGGAAAAATTGCCATGGTGGATACTGGAAAACATGGTGGGCGTAGTGGAAATAATAGTGGGCATGGTGGAAATAAGAGTGGGCATGGTGGAAATTATGATGGCTATGGTGGGACGTAGTGGAAAATATGGTGGTTATGCCGGGACATACTGGAGGTCCGTTCGATTCACCTGCACCAGTCAGAACCGGTTCACAGCTGTGCACGCGAAGTTCAGAAATTGTGCAGCATGAGTTCAGCGGTGCAGGCACAGCACGATACCCGAAACGAATGACGATGTGCCGACAAGGTGCAGGCCTTATTTCTTCTCGCTTAATTTACACCGTTCAGCAAACGCTGACCGATGGCGAATCGAACATGCGGACAGTTTATGAGGCGCAAACATCTTGACAAAACCCACCGCGTTTGTATAGGCGGGTACACGGCGCCTAAGCCACCTACGCCAATGTGCTGCGTCGTCTGCTCAGCTGCACGCGCGGCTGCACCAAGCCGGCACCGTCAGCGTAGGAGGTGCAAGAAAATCGTGAACCAGTGCTACACCTCTTCTGTACCTTTCGAAACGAATGGCAGGGTTCAGAGGTCGTCATTGCTACACCGCTGAAACGAATGGCAAGGTGCAGCACCTCGTGAACTGGTTCACGTGGTGCAGGCGAATCGAACGGACCTTGGGTAGTATGGTGTACAGATGATGGGTAAAGTGGAAATGATGGTGGAAAGCAGAGGCTAGATAGTGGGAAATAATGGGACACTCTGCCCACCATTGCGATAATGCTGGGAAGCCCTAAGCATATGGTGGGTGGTGCTTATTATGGTGGGCTACATGGTGTACCAAGCTGAGAAACTCTTCCCACCATTGCGATAATGCTGGGAAGCACTAAGCAGATGATGGGTGCTGCTTGTTATGGTGGGCCACATGGTGTACCAAGCTGAGAAGCTCTGCCCACCATCGCGATAATGCTCGGAAGCAGTAAGCAGATGATGGGTGGGCTTATAATGGCGGGCAATTTATATAGTGTACCAAGCTGAGATCTGTACACTACATGTTCTACCACGATGATTTCCACCAAAGGTTAGGCCTACCGACCAAGCCCGTACAATTGTGTTATCCGTGCTTCCGGGTTTCAGAATACACGATTTCGACGATTAAGTATGAAAATACAGCGCAGCCATGGCATCAAAACTTAAATGAAGCATTTTTCATTGTGTATGGTGTCCGCTCAAGAAGCAACAAACATCGATGCGACGCGATTAAAGCACTCCCAGAGAACGTAATTAGGTGTCTTCTCACCGACAGCCGCCGGTCGCACTCGCCGGCACTTCTCTAGCTTTTAAACGATAACTCAGACGTGGAAATCCGTATGCTTGGTGAACTAATAAGATAGCGCAATGTTTCCGGTACACTGCATTCGTTTTGGCCAAGCCGTTATGTAGTTGTTGCTTTAGCGAAAGAGCTACAGCATCGCGCTGGCGCGACTGCCCTCTACATTGCGCGAAAAGCATCCCAATACTCAATCAAATAAATTAGGCGGGCGTATCTATGGAATGAGCCTAGAAGCGTCATAAAGCGTGAGCAGATGTCGCCCTTTAGAACGAGCGCGAAACGGATATTAAACTTGGCAGACCCTGCCGGTAAACTATTGCTGCTCCCCAGTCCACTTGGTTTTTTTTTTCTTGAAGTTGTGAATTGTAAAAAAAAAAAAATAAAAAAAAATAGCACTAGTGCCATTAACATAGTGGCAATCGTTACAGGCCGCGGTTGCTTGTGTTTAATAAATGTGCAATTTTTAGTAGCAGGTGTAGATCTTGTCTATGTTGTGTACACGACAAACATGACTTAAGTTGAACCGTAAGTTTGTATGCTAACTAAGTATTTAACACAAAGCAACATGATGTTGGTGTGGCGCAGTGGTTAGCGTCTTCGAATGGGATCCGCAGGTTGCACGTTCGATCCTCCGTGGCGCCTTGTTTTTTTTTTTTTTACGGGACGGGTGTTTTTTATACCGTTTTTATAGAATTCTTTTTTATTTTTTGTGGCAGCTCGTCACGGTGATTCTGACGTCATTTCGCGCTCAAGTGTTGCCGGCACTGCAGCACCCACCATACCCACCATGCGCCATGGTGGGCGTTTCCCACCATTCACCCACTACATTAATCCACTATAATTGTGGGTGGTGGTTTACACCATGCCCACCATTCGTTTTTTTTTTCCGATAGGGTATTTGAGCTGTAGATTGGCTGTGTAGAGTGGTAGAAAACGAGCGCATTCACAACTTGTAATTAGGTGACGCGATGAGACTAGGAAATGCGATCACATAAGAGGGGGCTAGTAGACATGGGTAATTAGCGCGCTAAAAGAGGCTTCCTGTCATGAACTCAAATATAGACTGATTAAGTGGAATCAGTGTGTGCGAATCCATCTTACAAACAAAAATAAATATTGTATGCTGCCTAAAAGCTTAACTATTTAACTTCACGATGCCGCAGCAATTCACTCAAGTTTATAAAACCACAACGCCCACATTCACGGCGCTCTTATTGACTGGGAGGAGGATCACTTCGGAAACCCCCGTTTCCCACGTCGCTCTATAGCTCCGAGTGCGAGGCAATATGCATTTGGTTTTGTTGTGGGCTCTTTCACCATTACTTTTGAAATCAGAGTTTTCCGTGCGTACGCCAGAAGATCACTGGCCTTGGACGTACAATGCTTCGCTGTCTGAGAAAAGAACGGTTCACACAGCAACGACAACATGCACAGCCATCAGCCATGTTATAGGTTAATGCGCAACTGGCGAAAATGCGTATAATTTAATGCACGGATTGTGAAATAGCAGTATATATATATTGAGAAAAAAGTGTATACTTAAGGGCTCGTTTTCCCGTGTGTTACACAATATTAATGAGATCTAACAGACAGTAATGCCAAGGAAAGTATATATATTGATAAGAAGTATCACTACCAGGAAAAACAAGAGAAGCGCGGGTAGAGAATGAAGACAACCTTGCCTCCACTGCGATCCCTCTGAGTAGGTACGAGCCATGGCGGTGGAGATCATCATCATTAGACGGTGATCGCAGACTCAGGACCCATTAAAAACCCCCATTAATTCACCTTGCCTTGTGTAACACTATATATATATATATATATATATATATATATATATATATATATATATATATATATATATATATATATATATATATATATAT